TGAGTTTACAAATAGAAAGTGGAAAGATACTTCAAACTGAAGCATGTATCTGTGCTTCAATAATATGAAATGCTTACTCACTAAGAAGAAAAACATCATTTCCATATTTACTGGAAATTTTTATTTAATATTTTTGAAAATTGAATGAACTTAGTTATTTCAAGGTAAACTTATGTGACTTAAAGGGAAAATGAATTTGCCTTTTCCTTAACTTCTTGTTTTACTGTTCTATAATATTATATTTTTTAACTTCTTATCCTAGATTTGTGTCTAACTAGTATTTTCTCTTTTCTTTTAGATTTCTGTAATGGGATTTTATGACATTTGTTTTCCCTATAATGCTCAATTTTTCATGACTTGCCCTAAAAATTAACATGGTCATCACACCTGTGTTTTCAGTTGTTATAAAGTGTTATTAGTAGTCATGATGTGAATTAGTCCATGAGACACTTGCAAAGTATTAAAATAAGTATGACATCTTAATTATATAAGAATTGTGTCATCCCAAGAGCATAAGAATGTCTGAAAATTATTGGTAAAGGTAAATATAGAATCAAAACAGGATACTTTATTATTATAATAGTCGTGGGAAAATTGCTTTTAATTCTACTATAAGAGTCAAAACACAAAAGTATTAGAAACAACTATAACAAAATTATGTTTGTGGGTACGTAATATAGATACATTTAAATTGTGACATCAATAGCATAAAAGGTGGAAGGAGAGGTAAAAGCTGAGAATTCTTGTTTGCAAGTGAAATTGTTAGCTTAAAATAGACTGTTATAACTGTAAGATATTGTATGTAAGCTTCATGGTAATCACAAAGAAATACCTATAGAAGTTACACAAATAAAAAGAGAAAGGAAAAAATCTTATAAATACAAGAAAACAATGAAACACAAAGGCAGTTAGAGAGAAAAGGAGGGACAAAGGAAGTACAAGACAAACAAAAACAGTAAAAAATAGCAATAATAAATTCTTCTCTATCAATAATCACTTTAAGTGTAAATGAAATAAACTCTCCAATAAAAAGACATGGAATAGCTGAATGGATAAAAATCCAAGAGCCAAATGTGTGCTGTTTGCAAGAAATTCACTTTGGATCCAAGAACAAACATAGGCTGAAATTGAAAGGATGAAAGTGAAAGTGAAAAAAAGTTCCATGCAAATGATAACCAAAAGAAAGCAAGAGTGGCTATGATGAGTATCAGGCAAAGTAGACTTTAAGTCAAAAACCGTCTCTAGAGAACAAGAAAGTCATTATGTAATGATAAGAGGGTCAATTCAACCAGAAGATATATCAATTGTAAATATATATGCACCCAACATCAGAGATCCTAAATATGTAAAACAAATATTGACAGATCTGTAAGTAGAATTTGACAGTAATATAATAATAGTAAGAGACTTCAGTAACTCACTTTCTATAATGGATAGAACATCCAGAAAGAAAATCAATAAAGAAACAGTGGACCTGAACAAGACGATAGACCAAATGAACCTAAAACAGACATATATAGAGCTTTTCCACCCAATAGCAGAAGAATACGCATTCTTCTTAAGTGTGTATAGGACACTCTGGGATAGATCACATATTGGATCACAAAACAAATCTTAACAAATTTAAGGAGATTGAAATCATACCAAGTATCTTCCCAACCACAATAGAATGAAACTAGAAATCAATAACAGCAAGAAAATGGGAAAATTCACAAATACATGGAAACTAAATTAAATAATCTTGAACAAAAACTCAGTCGAAGAGGAAATCAAGAGTATTTAAAAAACCTTGAGATAAATGAAAATTAAAATATACCAAAGCTTATGGGATGCATCAAAAGTAGTACCAAGAAAGAAGTATATAGTGATAAAAATGCCTACATTAAAAAAGAAGAAAGATCTAAAATAAACAACCTTCTTTACACTTCAACAAACTAGAGAAAGAACAACAAACTAAACTCAAACTTAACAGAGAGAAGGAAGTAATAAAGATCAGAGCAGAAATAAATAAAGAATAGAAAAACAATAGGAAAAAATCAACAAAATTATTAGTTGTTTTTTTAAAAATAAATGTGACAAACTTATCTAGACTTACCAAAAAAGAGAGAGAAGATTCAAATACATACTATCAGAAATAAAAGAGAAAACATTACAATGGATGCCTCAGACATAAAATGATCATAAGGGACTATTGTGAACAATTATATTAGAAGAAATTGGACAACCTAGAAGAAATGGATAAATTCCTAGAAATGTATAATCTACCAAGACTGAATCAAGAAAGCCTGAACAGACCAACAACAAATAAGAATATTGACATAGTAATAACAAATCTTGCAATAAAGAGAAGCCCAGGACCAGATGGCTTCATGGCTAAACCTTACCAAACATCCAAAGAAGAATTAATGCCAATATTTCTTAAAGTTTTCCAAAAATACTAGAAGAAATGCTTTCAAACTTATTTTATCAGGCCAGCATCATCCTGATACCAAAGCTAGACAAAGGCACCACAAGAAAAGTAAACAACAGGCCAATATCTCTGATGAATACAGAGGCAATAATCCTCAATAAAATACTAGCCAATCAAATTCAACAATACATCAAAAATATTATAAATTGGGATTTATCCCTGGGATGTAAGTTTGGTTTAACATACACAAATCAGTCAATGTAATACACCATATTAAGTTAATGAACAATAGAAACTGCATAATCATCTCAATAGATGCAGAAAAAGCATCTGACAACATTCAGTATCCATTTGTGATAAAAAAAATCTGAGCAAAATAGATATAAAACAAAATTTCCTCAACACAATAAAGACCATTTATGAAAAGCTTACAGCTAACATCATAATTAATAGGAAAAACTGAGTGCTTTCTTCTCTAGGATCTGCAAGGCAGATCTAACACAAAGCAAGGATGCCTACTCTCACCACTTCTGTTTAAGATGGTATTAGAAGTCCTCACCAGAGCAATTAGATAAGAAGAAATAAAATGCCTTCATATTGGGAAGGAAGAAGTAAATGATCTCTGCTTGTAGATGACATGATCCTACATGTAGAAAACGCTAAAGACCAACAAAAAATTGTTAAAACTAATAAAGAAATTCAGTAAAGTTGCAAGATAAAATATTAACATGCAAAAATCAGTTGCATCTCTTTACACCAACAATGGTCTATCCACAAAGGAAATCAAGAAAATTATCCTATTTGTGATTGCATCAAAAAGAATAAAATACTTAAGAATACATTTAACCAAGTAGTTGAAAGATCTATACACTGATGACTATGAAACACCAATAAAAAATTGAAGACATAAACAAACGGGAAGATATCTCATGTTCATGTATTGGAAGAATTACTATTATTAAAATGTCCCTGCTACCCAAAGCAATCGACAGATTCAATGCAATTCCCATCAAAATTCCAATGGCATTTTCCACAGAAATAGAAAAAACAATTCTAAAATTTATATGGAACCACAGAAGATCCCAAATAGCTAGGACAGTCTTGAGAAAGAAGAACAAAGCCAGAGGCATCACAATTTCTGCTTTTTTTTTTATTATATTACAAAGATATAGTAATCAGGCGTGGGCCCCATGGCCGAGTGGTTAAGTTTGCGTGCTCTGCTTTGGCAGCCCAGGGGTTTGCTGGTTTGGATCCTGGGTGCGGACGTGGCACCACTCGTCATGCCATGCTGAGGCGGCATCCCACATGCCACAGCTAGAGGGACCCACAACTAGAATATATAACTATATACTGGTGGGCTTTGGGGGGGAGACGGAGAAGGGGAAGGGGGAAGAAGGAGAAGGAGAAGGAGAAAAAAGAAGATTGGCAACAGATGTTAGCTCAGGTGCCAATCTTTACAAAAACACCCCAAAAAACAAAGATAAAGTAATCAAAACAATATGGCACAGGTATAAAAACAGACACAGAGACCAATGGAACAGAATAGAGAGTCCGGAAATAAATCTAGGTGTAGATGGTCAACTGCTTTTAAACAGTGCCAAGAATACACAATTGGGAAAGGATAGTCTCTTTGATAAATGATGCTTGGAAAATTGGGTATCCATATGCAAAAGAATGAAACTGGACTCTTATCTTGCACCATGCAAAAAATTTAACTCTAAATGGATTAATTTAAATGTGAGACTTGAAACCATAAAACTCCTATAAGCAACATAAGGAAAAAGCTCTTTTACATTGGCCGTGGCAATGAATTTTTGGGTATGACATTAAAAGTTTAGGCAACAAAAGAAAAAATAAGGAAGTGGGACTACATCAAATTATCAAGTTTCTGAACAGAAAAGGAAACAATCAACAAAATTAAAAACCAACCAAGGGGATAAGAAAAAATATTTGCAAATCATATATCTGATAAAGGGTTAATATCCAAAATATTTAAGAACTTACACAACTCAATAGCAAAAAAAAAAAAAACCCAAACAGCCAATTAAAAAAAAAATAGCCAAAAGATTCTAATACAGATTTTCCCAAATAAGACATACAAATGGCCAACAGCTATATGAAAAGACACTTGACATCCCTGATCATCAGGGAAATGCACATCAAAACCACAATGAAATATCACCTCACAACTGTTAGGATAGCAATTAGCAAAAGAATTCAAGGTAACAAGTGTTGGCAGGATGTGGAAGAAAGGGAACTCTTGTACACTGTTGGCGGGAATGTAAATTGGTACAGCCATTATAGAAAACAGTGTAGAGCTTCCTCAAAAAACTAAAAATAGAGCTAACATATGATCCAACAGTCCGTCTTCTGGGTATATATCCAAAGGAAAGGAATTCAGTATCTCGAAAAGATACCTGTGCTCCCATGTTCTTTGCAGTATTATTGACAATCACCAAGCTACAGAAGCAACCTTAAGTGTTCATCGATGGATGAATGGATGAAGAAATTGTGATATGCATAGAGGAATATGTAAATTGTGAGATACAAAAACAGGTATACATATATGCACTTTTTTTGTTATTTGCAGCAACATGGATGAACCTGGAGGATCTTTTGCTAAGTGAAATAAGCCTGACACAGAAAGAAAGAAACTGCATGATTGCATTTACATATGCAATCTGAAGAAGTTGAATACACAGAAGCAGAGAATAGAATGTGGTCACCACAGATGGGTAAGTGGGGGAAATTTGGAGATATTGGTCAAAGGGTACAAAGTTCAGTTATATAGGATGAATAAGTATCGAGATCTAATGTATAGCATGATAACTATAGCTAATAATGCTGTATTGAATATTGGAAATTTGCTAAGAGAGTAGATTTCAGGTGGTCTCATCACAGAAAAAAATGGTAACTATGTGAGAGGGATGATATGTTAATTAGCTTCACTGTAGTAATCATTTCACTATGCATATGCACACCAAATCATTGTGTTGTACACCTTACATATATAATTTTTATTAAAACAATTTAAAAAGTCATCTAGAGAGCTTTTGAAGGTTACTAATTCCCTAAAGGCCACCCCAGACCAATTAAATATTTAGTATCTCTAAGGATAGGGCCTAGAATAAAAAAAAAAAGAATTGTATCATAGCTTGCCATGTTATGAATATGTTGTTTGCTTGGCATTAAAATATTAATATTCTTCTCAATTTGATACTGTTGGTCTTAGATATATAAGAACAATTTTAATTTATAACTCTCCATCATGCCTAAGCAAAGCCATGGATAATATTCTCTTAAATTTTATCGCATTTTGTTCTTTTTGAAGTGCTTTTACATTCACTACCTTATTTTATGTCTGAAATAAAACATACAAAAGGATGGGTGTTCATCTATTATCTCTTTTAAAAATGAGAAAACAGGGGCCAGCCCAGTGGCATAGTGGTTAAGTTCGCGCATTCCACTTTGGTGGCCTGGCCCAGGGTTCATAGGGTTGGATCCCAAAAGCAGACCTAGCACTGTTCATCAAGCCACGCTGTGGTGGCATCCCACATAAAATAGAGGAAGATTGGCATAGATGTTAGCTCAGCAACAATCTTCCTCAAACAAAAAGAGGAAGATTAGCAAGAGATGTTAGTCAGGGCCAATCTTCCTCACCAAAAGAATGAGAGAGAAAATGAACAAAAATAGGTTATGTACGTGCCTAAGGTCACACATGGTTTGTGAGAGAATAGTGAAAACACACAGCTATTGATCTTTCTTTACAAAATTTACCTTATCTGATCCTATACAAAGTTTATTTTTAACATTTATTGTTTAAAATACAAATAATTGAATTGATAAACTCATTTGAGGAACTTCTTAAGGAGTTCTTACTCAATTTTTATTTCCCAGCACCTTGAGCAGTATCTGGCATAGAGCAGGTAATCAGTATTTGTTGAATGAATTAATGTTAGCTTAAAAATGTTATAGATTGGAAATGCTTCCTAATTGCAGTAATGTTTTTATATTCCATTAACTGCAGTCAGAAAGGCTCTTAATGCATTTTGATTTTTGCATTGTTCTTGCTTTAAGGGTTATCTATTCAAAGGATAAGACTACTCGCTCAATTTACTGCTACTGGTGAAAGCAGGGGTTAGAAAAGGTTAATTAAAGATTCTTATCAAATATAATTTAAAAAGAATCCATTCAAATAAAAAATTATTTGAATATCCTCACTTTTTCCTTCACCATTACTTTATGTGACATATTTATTCTGAATCAGAGACCCTCCATTAGAAATCTCATTATTGATTCTTCTAAGCCTGTATACTTCTCAGAAAGGAAGGGTAGCCCATTGATAATAACTTCCTTGAAGTTTCCATGGTGCTGGTCTGTAAAGCAGAGGTAGCAGGCTGGTGATAAACAGCCCTGGGAACTTTTGGGTTTGGTCTGCATGGCGCAGCTAAGTGAGCGTTACATTACGTGCAGATATAAATGTTTCCGCACCTATTGTCTTAATTACACTTTCATGTTTTCTGTTGATCCCCTGCAGCCATTTTAGCTTATGACCCTTAATATAAATGATATGATTTGGGAAAAGCATTTGTGCTTGGAATTTCATTAGCCAAAGGAACAGTGTGAATACTTATATATGTTTTAAAGTTATAATGCAAAAATTAGAGATCTTAAAGACCCAAATAGCTATGTGAGAACCTTACCCATGGTTTAAGAGTTATGTCACAAAGAGGAATTGCTTTTAAAAGTTTAGCTTGGACTACTACTCAGCCATAAGAAATGATCAAATCCAGCCATTTGTGACAACATAGATGGACCTTGAGGGTATTATGCTAAGTGAAATAAGTCAGAGGGAGAAAGTCAAATACCATATGATCTCACTCTTAAGTAGAAGATAAAAACAACAACAAACACACACATAGAAAGAGAGACTGGATTGGCAGTTACCAGAGGGGAAGGGGGGAGGGAGGAGGGTGAAAGGGGTGACTGGGCACCCCTTGTGGTGATGGATTATAATTAGTCTTTGGGTGGTGAACATGATGTAATCTACACAGAAATCAAAATACATAATGATGTACACCTGAAATTTATATAATGTTATAAACCAATGTCACTGCAATAAAAAAAGTTTAGCTTAAAAGAACTACTCTAGATATTAGAATTATATAATCTAGATAATTCTGAAACTATTAATTGGTATGGAAATTAAATGTTTCAAGTAACAATTTTAAAAATTGTGCAAAGAGGGTCAGCTGTCTGCTATGACCACGTTGTCATTGCCTGCAATTCTGAGTGCCTTTTAGACATCTCTGTTCATCTCAGTTTAGTTGATTCTATCCAAAGTCTATAATAATGCCTTTAAAATTTCCTGTGTCTTTCATTCATAGCTACTTTTTCTTGCTTTCTGAGGTATTAAAATGACTTCTATGTTACAAGATTTTAATTTTTTTTGTTAGATTTATTTGTCTGCTTAGTTGTTAGGTGGATTTTTAAGACTAAATGAGTGGGTCACAAACTTGAAATTGGTAAAAACTTCTTCCAAAATTTATCAGACCATTACACAGAAGTGGAATATTTTTCCTACTCCTTAAACAGTAGCCAGGAATATTATCTACTTCATTTAGAGGAGAATGAAATATTGATCCATGTACATCCTATATATTTTGTGGTTATTAAATAAACTGTACTTATAAAGTTTTATTTTCACACCATCAAAAATAACCATTATCTCCTAAGAGATTTAGCATATCCTTGCATTTTTATTTGTCCTGGTTCATCATTGATATGAACTTCAAATTTCTATTACAAGAGGTATATGACTTCCTGCTAAATATTTGCATAATTTAATTTTTTTTCCTGCTCATTTTTAGGTCTCTTCAACCAGAATACTCATCAATATAGTCATTTAGCTTTTAATTTGACTTTTCTCTAGCATAAATATTACCAAAGTTGTTTATATCCAATATATCTTATCATAACAAAATTCAAATATTGTTCATAATACATTAAAACATCCCTATGGGAAACATAATATGGAGTGTTTTATTTATAAGCTACGTAATATAAGAGAAAAAAGTATTAGCTTAGATACTAATGATTATAATGATATGAGCTTACTATCATTTTCCATCTTTCTGGAATATTTCTTAATCACCAGGTTATGACTCAAGAACTAATAAACATGCATTTCTATTTCTATTCATATTAATCATGTTCCCATTTTCTGTATTTTATGTTTTGACATCTTGAAAAGCTTACTGGCTGCAGAGAGGCTGCCCTGTCACGGCAAGCTAATTCTTAGAGATAGCAAAGGGCCCGGCTGGGAGTACACCTCTCATTTGCACATCAGCCAATCCCAAGGAGTCTACAGCCCCAACAACCTCCTTATCTAACTCTCACACACCAAACCAATATTTCCCTTGCCCTATATCAGCCCAGGTACCAGGTAACTAGAGATCATTGCTAGAGCCCAAAGCCCACCAGAATTATTCAGACTGGGCAATACTAAACTGCTTACTCTGGCCTGCCCTACTTTTTCTGTAGAAATCCCAGGAAACGCTCTGACCTAGGCTTTCCCCCTCCCTCCAGCTTCTGCCTCCTGATCAAGACCTGATATTTTCCATGTCGCCTTGCGTTGTGTGGTGTGCCCCCTTCCCTTGAGAAATGTTTGTAATAAAACTCTTTCCTACTATGATTTAAATTTATGCAGCCACTATGGAAAACATGGACGCTCCTCAAAAATTAAGGATAGAACCACCATATGATCCAGCTATACCACTTCTGGGTATTTATCCAAAGAACACAAAAACACTAATTCAAAAAGGTATATGCACCCCTATGTTCATTGCAGCATTACTCGCAATAGCCAAGACATGGAAATAACCTAAGTGCCCATCAATGCATGAATGGATAAAGATGTGGCATATAGACACAATGGAACACTACTCAGCCATAGAAAAAAAATGAAATCTTGCCATTTGCAATAACATGGATAGAACTTGAGGATGTTATGCTAAACAAAATCAGACAAAGAAAGATGAAATCGTATGATTTCACTCATACATGGAAAATAAAACAACCACCACCACAACAAACACACAGACACAGAGAATGGATTGATGGTACCAGAGGGGAAGGGGGGGAAGGGAGAGGACAAAAGTGGTAAAGGGCATATGTACAGTGACGGATGGCAGCTAGACTTTGGGTGATGAACACAATGTAGTCTTCACAGAAATTTAAATTTAAAGATGTACACCTGAAATTCATGTAATGTTGTTAATCAATATTGCCTCAATAAAACAATAATCTTTCAGTGCCAGTAGGCTCTCCATGTTATCACTCAGTCACCTCTATAAATATCATGTGAGTACAATATTTGGAACCTATTTTTTCTAAATGAATGAACTTACATTGTCTTGAGTAAAGGAATGACATAATTGATTATCTGGTAAAATTTCCAAAATTGATTTCTGGGTTAAGAAAGAATGGGGGCTGGCCCCGTGGCCGAGTGGTTAAGTTCGCGCGCTCCGCTGCAGGCAGCCCAGTGTTTCGTTGGTTCGAATCCTGGGCGCGGACATGGCACTGCTCATCAAACCATGCTGAGGCAGCCTCCCACATGCCACAACTAGAAGGACCCACAACGAAGAATATACAACTATGTACCGGGGGGCTTTGGGGAGAAAAAGGAAAAAATAAAATCTTAAAAAAAAAAAAAAAGAGAGAGTATGATGCCAGT